GGGGGGGGCCTGGAGAGCGGCCCTGCCGAAAGGGATCTGAGGGTGTGGGTCGGCAGCAGCTCGGCAGGAGCCAGCAGCGCCCTGGCACCGAGGGGACAGACCGTGTCCTGGGGGACATGGAACCCGGCACAACCAGCCAGTCCAGAGAGGGGATTGTCCTGCCAGGTTCAGCGTTGGTGTGGCCTTGCATTGAGCGCAGTGCGGTGCTGGGCCCCACTGTTTAAGGAGGATGTGAAGGTCCTTGAAGGTGCCCAGAGGAGGGCCACCGAGCTGGTGGCAGGGCTGGAAGGCCACCAAGCTGGTGGCAGGGCTGGAAGGCACGACCTATGAGGGGCGGCTGAGGGCTTTGGGCTTGTCTGGTTTGCAGCATCCTGAGGAGAGGACGTGGAGAGAGGTGCTGAGCTCTTCTCCCTGGGATCCAGAGGTAGGACACGTGGGAATGGTTCAGAGCTGTGCCAGGCTGGACGTTGGGAAGCATTTCTTTACCAAGAGGGTGGTCAAACACGGCAACAGGCTTTCTGGAGAGGTGGGCGATGGCCCGTGGCTGTCAGTGCTTAAGAGTTGAGGGTGTCCCTGCCCATGGCAGGGGGTTGGAACTAGATGATCTCTGAGGTTCCTTCCAACCCAAACCATTCTGGGATTCTAAGAGGCATTTGGACAATGCCCTTAACAACAGACTAACTTTTGGGCAGCCCTGACGTGGTCAGGCAGCTGGACGAGATGATCCTTGTAGGTCCCTTCTAGCTGAACCACCCTAACCCTTACCCTAACCTTACCCCACCCACACTCTACCCTAACCCTTACCCCACCCCATCCTACCCTTTTCCCCCGAGCAGGACAGCACACGGTGTACAACACCCCTCCGGCCCCTTGCCCACCCCAGACACTGCCTGGGGGTGCCAGGGATGCCCTGGGGGGGGTACAGGGGACGTCCTGGTGTGACACTGGCACCACTCTGCAGCCACCAAAGCGCAGGGCATCACCTGCCCCATGCCAGCCACGTGCCGGGCAGAGCGCGGCACCACCGGGACTGCAGTGCTGAAAGGCGACTCCATCCCGGCCGAGCCGGGCGTGTGATCAGCCATGTCTGCGGGTACAGTGACACTTTCCTGACGTGGTGTAAGAGTCGGTCCGAAAAACAGCGTTGTCCCAACCTTGTCCTCAGGGATATGGACTCCGAAAGTGAGGCTGACGCCTCGCCAGGGGTCTGCGGCGGCCTGAGGAGCAGCTGCTGCCCCTGGGGGTGGAACGCCAGGCTTGGGAGATCCTCGTGCCCTGGGCAGAGCAAGGACGAGAGCTGCATGTGGCAGGGAAGAGCCACAGGACGGAGGTGCTGCTGTCTGCTCCTCCCTTCTAGAAACCTTGGGGGGAGAGAACAGCCGGAGGAGGGAGCCTGGCGGGGGCAAGAGGGCTCTGGTTTGGCTAAAGGGTGCTGTGCCGTTCTCCGGTGCCGGGGACGAGCCTGAGAACCGTTATCCAGAAGGATCGATTGGCATCGATGGAGCCAAGAGGCGGAGATGCAGAGGAGGAGCAAGGGGTGCTGCTGGGCATGACCTCAGCACCCGAACTTGGGAACCTTCCCCCACCAAGGGTCACAACGATCGTTAGGACCGGCGGGACACTGCCGGGACCTGGGACCATCGGGATGCCTCGGACCCACGGTGGCAGCTATCGATCTCTGTCCTCTTGTCGCTTCACTCTCCCCTTTCCTTTCACCCTCTGTCCCTGTCGCACGGCGCTTCACGGGCGAACAATGAAGTTTCCCTCTTGGATTGCAGCAACCCCCTTTGGTGTGGTCGCCTCAATTTTGCACTTCGAGATCGCCGCGAACGCCCCACCACGAGGCCACCGAGTGCACCGTGACAGGAGGGCACGAGACACGCACCACAGGTCTGCAGAATTAAAGCTCGACCTTCCGGAGATCCCCTTCACCCACGCACAGGGCGAACCACAAGCCAGCCCTTCCCCCCCTGGCCCCCGAGGACAGGGGAGGGCGTTCACTCTGCTGCCGGAGCCAAACTCTGGCAGCCACCGAGCATTCAGGTCCCCTTCCCAGCCGCCGGACCTACCGGTCATGTTCTCGTCCAGGGGCAGGGACACTCCCACATCACAGATCTTGATGGTTTCAAAGTCGCCTTTAACGACCACGTTCGAAGACTTGATGTCTCCGTGGAGCAGCTTCTTGTCGTTGTGAAGGTACTAAGAGGCAGAGAGGAGCCGTTAACGCCCGCTTACACCGCGGAGAGGCGAGAGGAGCCATTGGATTTGGACAACAACGCACCAACTTCTTAATGTTTACCTTCTTTACCCTTAAAACCTCGAGGATGGGTCAACCCCTCCCTGTAACCTCAATTAATTAGAACTAATTTACCCCTAAATGCAGCCTCAGCTCGGTGGCTGCCATGGCTCGGCGAGAGGAGGCACGCAAGCAACCACCTAACCATTGGCACTGCCGGGACCAGCTTCCTGCAACTGCCTGGCGCAGCAGGTAAGGAGGCCAGGAGCCGGCCTCCTCGCTGGCTAGCAAGCAGGGAGAGCAGGTAGCCCCGGGGGAGAGCAGCAGGACGTTCGTGGCAAACACCCCGCTGCGTCTCCTTCCGCCTCATTCTTCAAGGCTCCCTCTACGGGGAGTCTCTACAGCCCCCCTCCCCGGTAAAAATAAAAAAAAAAAATACCACCGAGGTCTTGGATGAAGCCTCACGGCGTCTGCGCTCCCCCCGCTGGCACGGCCAAATTCGTTTATTTCTCCAGTGCCGATGATTCCGCGCCGAACAGCGACGGTTAACGGCAAACACACCCGCCCCCCCCTCCCCAAACGTACCTTCAGCCCCCTCGCCATGCTCAAGGCGACTTTGAAGATGGTGGCAGCCGGGAAAGGGCCCAACCGTGCTGCGCTTCTTTCTTCGATTAAGTTGTTGAGGGATTTTTCTCCTCCGTACTCCATGGCCAGACACATGCTTCCATCGTTGGCCTCGGTGAACGCGCGGTAACCTTCCAACCAAGATGGATTCGTTGGGAGAGCTGGGCCAGGCACCGGCGTTTCCGCGTGCCCGATGATGGAGCACGTGGGGCTGCTGCTCCCCAGGTGCTTCCCTGGTGGCTGCAACCAACCTCAAACAAATTCGAGCGCTGGAACGGGCTGCCCAGGGCGGTGGTGGAGTCACCAGCCCTGGAGGTATCTAAAAGACGTGCAGAGGTGGCGCTTGGGGAGGTGGTTTAGTGGTGGAGTTGGCAGCGCTGGGTCACTGGTGGGACTCGATGATCTTAAAGGTCTTTTCCAACCCAAGCGACCCCACGGTTCTGCCACCCACCGCGCTGCCCCGGCAGCCCAAGGGCGCTTCCAAGTCCCCACCGCGCAGGGCAAGACGAAGTCAATTTATCAAGGTCCACCGCTGGCCCACCCGAAGGCGCCGGCAGCCCAGCAACCCACCTCCGCAGCGTAGGGACGGGCCAAACACGGCCAAACACCCGGTGAACCCCACCCCGGCCGTCCTCCCACCCCGAGGATCCAGATTTCCCAGAGCTGGACGGGGAGATCTGTAACCCACAGCCCGCGGAGCGAGAGGAACCCAGAGCAGGGGAGGGCAGAGAAGCCTCGTGTCCCAGCCGCTGGTCCCGGAGCGGGCACCCACGGCTTGGTTTGCGATTTAACGCGAGGCAGCCCGCGCCCGAAACTCACCCACGATGTTTGGGTGCTGGAGGTTTTTCAAGATCTTGGCTTCTTCTTTCAGTCTCTTCTGATAGATGCTTTGCTGGCTCCTGTTGCACTTGGAATTAATTTTCTTCACAGCCCAAGGGGAGCGAGAGAAACCTCTGGGAGACCTGCAGGGGGGAAAAAAAACCACCCCCCCGCACCTCTCAAACCCATGTGTAGGCAGCACCATGGTTAAAGCTCGCACGGGTCACTGAGGAGCTGCTCTGGAGAGCATCTGCCTTTGGTTTGTGGAATTAATGAAGACCAATGCTAAAATAAACTAAAGTTTGCCAATGCGCATGACGCGGAGTGACGCTTTGCCCGCCTACAGCGCTGCTCCGTCGGATTTCTGAGTGTCTTGGAAAGGGAGATTTGCATCAATTCTCATTTTCAGGGGGAGGAGGCTCGGCTCGGGAGGGAAGCAGCTTGCCCAGCAGCGCCAGGAGCGGACCCCCAAATGCCTCAATTCCAGGCCAGGCCGCGGGGTTATCCCAAAACGACGGGCTCCTTCCCAGCACCCCCAGGGACGGCTGGAAATCCCCCACCCCTTCCTCGACTTTCAAGGGGTGCAGGCAGCACCTGAAGGTCGGTGACGGCGGCTCAGCCGCTTCCCATCCCCTGGGTTATTGTAGGGGGGAACCAAGAAGAGGCCCAAGCGCCGTTCCCGGGGGGCCCCCACGTACCTTTTCATCAAGTAGACGTTGACGCCGGTGCCGTAGCCAAGCTTCTGCATGAAGGGAGAGGCCGGGATGGTGACGGAAACCGGCCCCCTGTCTGAAAAATAAAAAGAAACCCCAGGCCCGTGAGTGACCCCGCGCCGCCGCTC